AAGGAAATCTAGTTTTCCTTAGAAAGTCCTCCCTGATAGTTTCCGTCCTCTTGCGCAGATGCCAATTCCATTAAATTTTCTGCATTAAACACAATTGTAATTCTTTCTTTTTAAAGAAATCTCAGGGGAAATAATTGTAAACATCAGATTCAGTGCGATTATGAATTATTATTTTAAAGTAGTTAACATTTTGAGTGGGAAAAGCATTTTTAATACGCTCATAAACAACCCCTCCTCTAAATTGGCATCAAAAACTGTGTCGATTTCTACAACAATCTATATAAATACGTTTCCAAAAAATTCTGCTAAAATATTAAAAGTTGTATTTGTAGAGCATTTATTAGTTAGATTTGTGACTACCTACTCAACTTTTGGTTTTCATAACCTATAAGGTATTTTCTCCCGCCTTCTTAGCATACCTTCGTGGTGTAATGGTCAGCACGCACGGCGTGTATTCGAGAGGTTGGTGGTTCGAGTCCCGGCGAAGGCATTGCTCCTATTTCACATGTCCTGCTTCGAAATAACCTAATGTTTCTATAGTGGCACCCAAACCAAAAAAGGTGGTGGATGATGATTTCTTCTCCGCCGCAAGGATTTGGCGATTCGGTCCCCTAATCCCCAGTCGCCCTTTAAAAGGGGGAGTATATACGGTATTTTCTCCCGCCCTTTTAGCATGCCTTCGTGGTCTCAGTACGCTCGGCGCGCATTCGAGAAGTCCGTGGTTCGCGTCCCGGGTAAGGCATTGCTCATTTTTCATGTCTCTTGCTGTTAAAAAAAATGTAATGTCTCTACAAACCTTCCATTCATCAGAATAGTAATAAAGTTATGAAGCATAGGGGGTAGGGGGGAAAAAGGAATTTTAAAGAAAAGATTATTTTTACAAAATGACTCAAAATTTCTTGAGACAGTATAAGTAGTTATATAACTCAAATAATTAAATATTTGACCTCTTAATTTTACCAGTATTTCTGTATAGAAATAAAACATAATTAAATATCTTTAATGAGTATCATAGATAGTGGAGCACATCGAGTGAGCTTCACAATATTTTCAAAAGCAGCCACTTTGACAAATGAACAGAACTGTCGGGAATCGCTTATGAATGTCACTTACACGTTTCATAATGCCAAGAATGTTATAAAAATAACGGTTATGCTATATCAACAACTTACCGATCTTTCCAAAGTGCTTAAAAATAGAGCTGTTCCAAAAATTGTATTCAGTTCATTCACGGTGTTTAATCAAAAGCTCGTCGTCGATTTTTGAACTACTTATCGATAAGCTATTGAATTCAAATTTTGTACACACACCGTTTACGGATGATAATAATTCGATTTAGAGTTTTTAAAATTTAATGTCGAAGAAATTTTTTGCGCATATTTCCATTTAAGAATAAACTAAAAATCTCAAAATTTTTAAGTTTGCATCATTTTACAGAGCGTAAAATAGCTTTTGAAATAAAATTTGCATGAAATTCGTAACCTAATTTCTGATTTTGGGGCGAATTTTGTTTTAAATTTATATATCTTTTCGATTATTTGAGGTAAAAGGATACTTGGAAGTAAAAGACTGAACCAATAGTAATAATAATAATAATAATTTATCGCATAGATTAATGGTAATAAGAGATTACTTAATAGCTTCTTTGCTAAATTCCTGTACAGTTTTATAAGAAGAATCATAGGTTCTTAAATTACGAAATCAAATAATTGAATCGCATTGTCAGATGCATAATATTTATAAATTTATCAAGACAGCCTCACGTTTTTGTTATTCGTGATATAAATTTGTAGATAAATTTCTTAAAGAGAATTATTTAATCTCGTATTCCCATTAAATTACACGATACATTATTTTTAAAACAAAGGGCGTTAGCCGAGAAGGTCTATTAACTTCATTTTTTCATTTTCCGTTGAAAACTATGTCAGTTCACTTTTCAAACTGTTGCTACCACATATTACAGCCCTGTATTATATTTAAAGAAATTAAATAATGGTTTTGGTTTATTAGATTACGGCAAAGCACTCGAGGCTATCTGCCTTGAAATTAAATAATGAATAATCTGCATAAATATATGTATGTTTCTCGCATTGTGATAAAACAACGGTACCTAGACCCATCCAATTTTGAATAACGTACATTTCCACCCGAATATGGGCATCTCGAAGCCGAGATTTGGAATTTGTTTTATTATATGTTTCATATTTCGTAAAACTTCAATGAATTTTTAATTAAGAAACTCAACGATTTTAAAGCGAGCAAAGGCAACACTGTATGAAAATAATAATATAAAAAATTATCTTCTTCAACGGGCGAGACTGTGTATCGGAAATTCTAAAGATATGCTCATTTAAAATTTATTTTGCGGTATTGCTGTTTAACTGAAGTTTTATGGTTTAAGTGCGAAGAACATGATATTTAAAAATAAAGGTAACCCACAAACCGTTAAAAAAACGCCCTTTGGGCCTAATGTAAAATCTGAAAGATTTGCATTTTCAGATTTTTATGTTTGCATTTATTACTTTTATTTTTCTCGTTTTAATTCATTAATGCTCTTATAGGTAAACGTTCATTTTGTAAAAAATTCTATTTTTTTTATTCAATAACTGCTCTAAAACGGAAATTCTTAAATCCCTTTATATATGCATCCACTTTGTAACTGGTAATAAATTTGTTTCTTTAGAGTCAGTGTAAGGCCTTTATCCCAAAACATCAAGAAGATTTCTCCCCCACGCTAATGACAGCCATTACCCATTGTCGTCAGAATTGCATGGACCCTTGTCCCCTTAGGCATTGGGGGTTGGAAGACATACAAAAATACGGGCTAGTCCTTTTTAGTGTGTTTTTTAGATAATACAAAAACACGGGACTGTCCGTTTTCGAGGGTACATTTAAACTAACAATAATCCGTAACGAACCGTTAAGAGACCTGCATAAAAGAACGAGAAAATCCGGACCAAACCGTTAATGGGTTAACTCTGTAGACAGACATAATCTCTTGTTCAGCTACATTATTGAAGTCCTATAACCACTATTTCGAGAATTCATACTAACTTGTCAATCGAAATTTCCTTGTTTTGAGTAACTTCTCTGTCACTTTCTTCACATAGGTAGCGGTATTTTCTGGATCTAGAACCATACTACAGATTTCGCCATTCATTAATTGATTGATTATTGAGAAGTACTGCCATCACAATCAAAAACTTCTTTTATACCATTTTCATTTATTACCGCTTCTCCACATTTCTTCACAAAATCCGCCAATTGGAAAATTTCACCTTTGTTTTGTGATATCCGAAAACCTTTAAAATTAGCAGCTATCATCATCAAATTTAGGTGTTCTTCACTATACATATTTGGCTATGCATCATGAGCTTGGCGACTAACGGACAAATTATTCCGTTAAATTTTATCTATTGCACATTGAGACAATTAAGCCTGAATGGTATTAGTTTAGTTATTTATTATATTTATGTCTATTACTTGCGCATGCTTAAGCCTTATCAGAGTTCTGAATAAATAAATTCCCACCATATACTAGGACAGTGCTAGATGTCTTACAGCTTTTTGCAGTCTCTGTGGGTCCTAAATTCTGCAACTCGATGCGACCATATGAGCCCTGGTGCTGGTTCTGGGTTCATGTGAATAACAAATCTGTTATTCTTAATTCAAATAACCCTAAATGTAATCTTTGGGTCTATGAGTATCATCAACAAAATCTATTTTTAACATATGGAAAGAAATTTTTGGTAAATTTTTCCTCGTCAACACTTTTTAGTGCATTTAACTTAAATCTGTAATCATCGCCAAGTGTAATGTCAACATAAAAGGTTACCACACTCCTTTATGATTCAGTTACTAGCATAAAAAAAATTTTTAGGCACCGCTACATGACTCATTACTCAATTTGTCATGTTTTGATAAATATGCAGTGATTAAAGGAAAGTATAACGAATAATGATTCCCCAGGTTGGTGTCAGATCAACGATGTGTCTATGTGGAATGTTTCGATTTGATATGCATGCCAAGCAGATACACAACCACGGAGCCAAATTACCGATCGTACAAATTTATGCTAAAATGATTGTTTCTTCAATAACAAAGTATTTTATTTAGTGTTGAAGTGAAATTAAGAATCGGGTCTCTCCAGATGTTTTATTATGCGCAGATGGGAATCAAATGTGCATGCGTAATGCCTATGAGAAAATGTTGGAGGTGGTTTTGAGGTCCGGATTTTAGATCATTCCGGATAATGGACATCTGGATTTCGGACTTTGTACTGTACGAGATAACAAGGAATTGACACATACTTTAATCATAAAATTATTCTACTTGATCATTGTGTTCATTTACTTAAAGAAAGCTTTAGTTGAAAAATACACATGAACTGGCCGTAACGAAAGAAGTATGTGGTCAATAAATCCCACCGTGGTTGGATACATTTCAGTCAGGAAGGAAAGCTACACAGCTAAATAAGCTTTAAGTCACACTTTAATTTCATTAAGTTGTTATTTTAACATAATCTTTCTTGAAGAATCAGGATAGCCACCTGTTCATCTCTTGATAAGTTGCAAAATCCATTTTAGAATGATTAGGAGGGGAGGAACAATTACAGGAAATACATGGTTATGCAAGGAAAAAAAAAACTGGTAATATCTGGCACGGGAAATACATCGCAAAACAAAAAAGTGCCATATGGTATGGGTTAAATGAAAAAGTACAAGATAAATTATAATAATTTTTTCCCTAAAAAATCACAGGAGGGCAAAGATGAAAAACCATGTAATTACCTCTAGCATTTTAATTTTAAATACAAGGCTGTTACAAACATAATGTCACAAACAAGTTTAAAAGTAAGTCATTCATAAACTAGAATCAACATTACTCAGAGACCAGCTGATATAGCAATACATATACATTCTTGAAAAAGGAATACAGATTTTCATAAAAAGCATACTCTAATAATATCAGATAACATCAAAATTAAACATTTTACTCACTTATTAGAAGTCAAGAAGGATACCAAAATTGGAACAGCTCCAGAAGCAATCAAATTATCAATGGGAGGACTCTTTTCTTTAGATAAATATTTCCTAGCATTTTGAGCACCAGCAAATTGCAGTTGAGGATCATTACTTTTAATATCTCGCATAATTTCTTCAACTGTTATTATAATCTGAAATGTATTAAAGAAGTTCTATATTCTTGACACAGAACTTTATACTGTGGTCAGTAAAAAATAAATTACCATAATAATATTTATTTTCTTGTCTCAAATTTAATAATCAATAAGAAAAATTACATAAACTACTAATATCTAACTGATGAAACAGACTTAACCTTGATAAAGCACTTTTTTTTTTAACTGTAAAGGCACCCACAGAGCAGTGTGAAATTGATAAACAGATTTTGGAATGGTTAGATAAACAAAGGATATGCCTTTATCCATTTTTTGCAGCAATTCCACTTTTTGTTTGATGGACATCAACACATACTTTCGCTTTGCAGATCCTTTGGGAGCTCCAGCATCGGAAATTCTATTTGACATAATCGAAAGTTCAAGCTTACTTTTATAAAACTGCTCTAACAGTCTGCAAAAAATAATAAGCAGGATCCAATCCGAAGATTAAGGAACAAAGCAATCTGCAACATTAACTGAAATAGATAATTAGATAATTTTAGCTTATACCGTCCGTTATACATTAAACGCACATGCGTAAATGTATTATGCGCATGCGCACATGCATATGCGCAGCCGTAAAGGTTTTACATTTTTTTTTTCAGACAGTTTGTAGCTTTGAGGTCCGGATTATAGATCATTCCGGATTATGGGTGTCCGAAATAATGGTTTTTGACTGTATATACAAAATACTGCATTTAAATGTTTTTCTGCTATCCAGATTGAAAATAATTTTTCAGCATGCTCTAATATCTCTGAAATTTGTTTCATAATCAATTTCCACCCCCTTCTCACCAACAGCCGGCTTAGTAAAGAATGTTTTCCACAATCATAGATAACACTCTTAACATTTGGCAGTAGCCAAGACCCAGATATGCACCTATACCTCTATACATTTCATCACGTTTTCAGCTCATAATGATCTTACCATTTTTTTCACTGATTAACTCTTGACGATAACTTTCTTAAAACTCAATTACCAAATTTACAAAAAATTTGTGGGAGAAAAAAAAAAAGAAAATTCATATTTATAGAGCGACTTGCTGTGACATACTGTAATTGTAGCTGTGAGTGTACACTCATGGACAGTCACTTTCTCGAAAGAGGCATGCAGCTGTGACTTACTGAACCGAGTTGTATTCCAAACAAAAATTTCGGTGTCCTAACAGAATGTATACAGAGGTACAAATAAACTCTTAAATATGATGAAAAAAAATTTTATGTAGATACTATTGTGCAGATAAACTTAGTAATGTGCCACATCTTGATGTAAAACAAAATTAAATATGAATATAAACTGATTATACATTGGTTGAAATGTCATAAAACAGCTCTACAATTATTTATAGTAGATTCACATAATTCAAACCAATAAAAATCTAGTAAGAAAAATTATGCTGAAAATCCCCGTCAGCAGAGAAATGGAATTTGTGCAAATTTTCATTAATTAAATAAATTTTATTTATTGCTGGGAAAACATTTTCCTCAGCAGTTTTCCTGCAACTGAAAATTAAAAACTGGAGATTTGGAGATGTATCAAGATATATGATAAAGAACTCTGAGAGCAGGACACATGAATCATGACTTTTGCAATTATTGTTTTGTAGTGATAAATGTAACCAATGAATATTTTGCCTTCTGTAACATTAACACCTTAACTGCAGCGTGACCATCCAGTGGACCATGATAGGATTCATTTTAGGATGTTGTGATCCACCAGTGGATCACAGCAATGTTCACATTTGTGACCATATTTACCACTGGTAGGTCATACTTACTTCAGTTTTGTCAAGGAATATAAATTTCTTTGCCTCCAAATCACTGCTCAAATTGGTTCCAAATTGAAAACATATATAATTTCATAAATGTATTTCTTTACTAATAAAAATGTACGAAGTTCTCAAATTTTGGATACAATATTTATAGTTTTCTTAAAAATGGTGTTCAAAATATATGAATACTTCAACCGAGAGAGCCATCGAACCTGCTTGAAGCAGTAGGGTTTTAATTATTATAATATATAATAAAATCATAGTACACTATACACTCTAAAATTGTATAGTATCTGAAGTTTTAATTATCACACACTTGTTATATTTATAGTACACTTGACAACAGAGACAAAAAAACGGACACATTACAATCAACCCAATGACTATCCCAGATCCTTCACAGAAATAAAATTTTACATTGTAAAACAATCCTGAATTGCCTGCCTGCTTTGTATAAGGATTACTGAAATATACCTATTATTATCAGTCACCATACAGTGGTTTCATCCCTTTCAACAGGTGCTGGTCTTGCAGATAAAAGATCATCTAAACTGAATTTAAAACATTCATATCTTTTCTAATTCTAATTATTTTGATTTTTCATCATGAAATATTATATGAATTTTAAATGCCAAATGTTAAAAACAGCTTTTTATATTTTCTCTTATGTTCAATCTATCTTTCAATGTCCACCACTGCCCCTTTTTTTCTTACATACCCTCCAAGACCACTTCATGTATTCCTCGGAGTATGTGTACCGCAGGTTCAGAAACGCTGGCCTAAAAGGAGGTATATTAAGTCATATTTATTAACATGCTAGAATGAAACTGAGCTGCTAAGCTCTACGAATTTCCATAATTTTCTAATTGTGTAATATGTCTAATCTTTAACCAACTACATATAAGAGACTGATAACATAGAGTAATTTTCAATTATCTGCACTTCCAGTTTCAACTTTCAGAACAATAGCCTGTTTTGAGCAAATTTTCAAGTACTATAATTTCAGGTAGATAAGCCACAGCTTGTATGTGTTCAAAAGTTGAATATTTTAGGTCTGCAGCATAACTGAAGAAATTTAATTTTCCTCCTGTCTTAAATTTATAGTTTAGATTGTAAGTTATGCATAAGCAAAATGGTTAATGTGGAATTCGCTGTGATATTTTAACCTGATATGAACACTCAGGTTGCACTATTGAAACTCGCTTAATTATGGTAGGGTGTGCTTGGTAGAAAGACATCCTCATGCATGTCTTTCTGCTGAACTCAGTGGTTTTCCCTTTGTTTTCTGATGGCCATCTTATTTTTAATATGCAGAGGAACTTTTACTTCGCCAAGTTCTGTGTTCATTCTTACCCATGTCTCACGGATTTCTGGCTTAGATGTATACTCTGAAAAAGTGCTTACTTTATTGTTTGTGCTTGCTGATTTTAAATTATTATTATTATTATGGCTCCTGCTCAAAGAAAAGGGTATATTGCTGCTTTTATACTTTCGGCTGTGAAGAAAGTGGTAGACATTGGAAATCAGGCTGCCGCTAGAGAATTTCAAGTTGATAAGAGATGCATTTGATGACAGAAGTCCAAACCAGAAGAATCAGAGGAAATGTCAAAGAAAAAAATCTTGTTGCACTGACATTATAGTCTGGCCTGTTTTGAGAGACAATTTAGAGAAATGGACAACAGAGCAGACAGAAAAAGTATCAGTGTCAACAGTTAAAATTCACTGTCAAGCAAATTTAACTGCTCAACAAACAGCATTCAAACTTTGTTGGAGGATCTAATTGGTGTTTCAGTTCAAGTTCATGAAACGAAAGCAAATGACTGAAACAACAATTGCAGAAGCTTCCCATGGACTGGCATAATAAAAAGACAGCTTTTTTAGAATACACATCTAAGAAAATCTGAATAGTGGGCAAATAATTAATATGGATGAAGTGCCTGTTACTTTTTGACAGTCTTCCTAGCAGAATTGGTTTATTCAACAGGTGGGAAAAAAAAAAAAAAAAAAAAAAAAAAAAAAAAACTAACTAACCAAGAACTGTTAATAACTGGAAATGAAAATGCTTTTTTTTATTTGTGTTTTGGGTTGTGCCACCAATACAGAGAGCATTAATGCCTTTGATAATTTTCAAAAGAAAAACAGTTGCGAAATGAAATTAAATTTGTCATTATTTGTGCTAATGAAAAAGGTTGGATGTACTAAAAAAGCGTTGTTATGGCTAAGAGAAATTCATCGAAAAAGGAAAGGTGCTTTTCCCCAACCACAGATTCAACGTTTGGATTCAAAGCGATACCATACAGTAAAATTAGAAGCAAAAACTCAGCACTTACGTATCAGAGGCACCTATAGACTCCAACTACCCTGGATTCTCTGTAGCTTCTACAGAAAAGCATGAAAACTACAAGCTACAAAAAGTATGGACAAAACTATGAATTTTTACAAAAACAGGGTAGGAGAATCAGCACGCAAAATGGAACCAGCTAATTCATCCGATGATTGGCTGAATAATCGTGTCATCATATATCACGTATTGAACGCATCGCTGGTTTTGAAGAATAGCCAATTGTAGATCAGCAACTCCAACCATCACTTAACTATATTTCCCCTATAATTAATCACTTGACTGTAGTATTCCACACACCCAGGTTCGTTGCTGCTGTATAAGGCTTCATCATTTAGATTACGGCGAGAGCGTAGCATGTGTGTCTTGTGAACTGCGATTCAGCTGAAAGTATTTTGTTAATTATGCTGCCTCGAACGAAGAAGCTAAAATTATCAAAGCAGAAATTTAAAGATTCAGATTCTTCAGAATTTCCTTGCATTAAAATGTCTGAATCATGCATGTTACAATGTACGAATCGCGTACGTTGCAACGTATACAACAAAGACTTCTCCGTTGTGCATGGAAGAAAAGGATGATTATAAATGGCACGTTTTTTCTCAAAAGCATAAAGAACTCGGCAGTGTAAAATCTAAAGAAATAACGAATTTCTTCATAAAAGATGAAGAAACAGCTACTATAAAACCGAATGCTATTTTGTTAAATTTCTAATTGAACATAATCTACCGATTTCAGTTTCAGATCATTCCAAACAGCTTTTCAAGGGAATGTTTCCGGATTCTAAAAAAACTAAACTCAGTGGCGTAACAGCCCTAATGGGCTGAGGCCTGCAGTGCCCGAAATCTGCTTTCTTGACCGTGGTCCCCGGGGTGAGTAAGCATATG